TCTGTACATTCACAGTTATAATTGGAGCAAACATTCGTCAGAAAAACAGTAATATAGTTAAGAATCGCTTCTTGATGTTATCTTACCTAACCTTCTACTTTGTCAGGAAAGAATATAATACAAACAGGACAAACATTTAACAAACATCTAAAAATATACAAAATTTGAAATGGTTTGACATCGAAGTCTCTTGCGCAGACAGAGTGGAGATAATATTTTTGAAAATAGGTTAAAGCCTTCCAAGTCTCTACCTCGGTACGGTCTGTATCTATCAGTCGCTTAGATACTACATACACAGACAGTTGCCCATACCATGTAAGTCTGTATGTTCCTTTTGATGCCCAACCAACGATACCGATGACAAGTCCGTTCATAATTGTATTTGGTTCAAAATTTACGATTCATTTCATCTGTAGGATTTTCTGTGCTTTTGAGCTACTTTATTTTAAACAGTTTTATTTAGCTCGACCCGTACGGAATTTATTTATTTGGGTCAAAATTAGAAATGGAAATTCAAGCACCTTCCCATTGTCAGATTGATCTGAAATTTGGTACAGACATTTAATTTAGATGACAATACAATATAGTAAAATCAATAACATTATAAATCCAAGATGGCCGCAGATACAAAATCGCGGATTACATATTTTTCCTTAACCCCCTCAATATGGGTATCAAATGAAAGGGCTACACTGGTAAAACACGATGATCATGTCAAAATTTAATTTTCTTTTGTAGTTTTCAGTGAACAAAAAATAAAACTGTTTAACTTAAAAGTTTTTTGAGTTGAGACTTGTTGAATTTGAATTTGGAATACAGTTGAAAACAATTATACTGGTTTTTAGCGACTGTGTTTAATTACTACTGTTTCTTTTCATACTAGATGATATAACTTTATTAACGAAAACTATCGAATAGTACCAACAACTTCGCACATTCTTAAAAAAGGTCACACTTCTATTATATCTTAAGCATTATACATCTAATAGTGGTATTATGCAACTCATACAAACATTAGAAAAGACGCTACTCGCCTTCGTAGTTCGGTGAAACATCTTATGATGAAATAGAAAGCTTTTGCCACCTGCACGGACGCTCATTGGACGGATTACGAAACAAGATTACATTTTAATAACATTATGATAAGTATGTAAGAGCGACGTTGAACTTTCTAGAGGTTTGGTTATACGAATTTGTCTAACGAGTGGTTTTGTTTTACGTATTAATAACGTCTTTGGGAATAGTTTGTCTCATAGAAGGTGCAAGTGCTAAGATATTATAAATTAAAAAGCCACGTATTTTTTTATGAAGTATGAAATTAATGAATTTAGTATATAACACGGTCTTCTTTATAAACTTAAGCTCTTAGCTACGATGTCGATCGCTCTTAGCTACGATGTCGATCGCGTCCCTTTCCGTCGTTTTTGCAAGTTATTCTTAAAAGATAGACATATAGCGTCGCAAACTTTTTTTAGATCATTTAAAGAGGAATCATTCTTTAAAACATTTTTTTATTTAGGTCTTGAACCGTTTACCCAACGTACGCACCTGAAGAAAAATTTTCCTCGTTTTGTTCATATTTCCCGCTGTATCTTCGCTTCACACACAGCGCGATGTTTTATAGCCTGAGAATATAGTATATAGTAGCCTATAGTAATTCCTGAGATTAGCGCGTTCAAACAAACAAACTCTTTAGCTTTATATATTAGTATAGATAGGCTTTGCTTCATTAAGATCAGATGTCAATTGAAGTTGTGGCTATTTAAACATTTTGTATATATGTTTATTCATAAAGTACTAAATAAAATAGAGCAAGCATTTAAGTACTCTATGACACTTATATGTTGACTACATAATGATATTTAAACCTTACTATTTCAATAAAACACTGTAACTGTTTAAAACGCGATATATTAGTTAAACTTAATTGAAAATGATTTTTTAAATAAGTTTAACTAATATATCGCGTTTTAAACAGTTACAGTGTTTTATTTAAATGTGTACTACTCGCGTAAACTATAGACATTTAATTAATAATGATTGTATTTAAACCCTACTAGTTAGCATCACGCCTTTTATTTTAAGCGATGTGTCAGTTCGCTTTGAAAAATATTGCGAAAATCATTGTTATAAATTAATTATATTTATGTAAATCATTTTACGATACGACTTTATTGTCTAGAAGACTATTTATTGTTCACAGGAGTAATGGTGACTGTAGATAAATGACTATTGTCAAAGAATTCCGTTTAATAATTACTAAAATGGAAGTGACATGTCTTGTAATATATTATGTATTTTCATTGTGTTACAATACAACAGCTGTGTCAGCGACTTCGTCTGCGTAGAGTAGTTATTTTGTACATAATTTTTTTTTTCATCTTTATAACTTTAAGCTGTTACCCACGGGCCGCGACATCGTTCGCGTCCCGTCGCTCGCGATCCGTCCTCTATGCGAGTTAATCTTGAAGCCATATAGTGTCACAGACAATTTTTTTGATGATTCAAAGTAATTTACGTCTTTATTTTTACATTTCCCGCTGTTTCTTCACTCCTATTAGTCCCAGCGCGATGTTTTATAACCTATAGCCTTCCTCGATAATTGTTCTAACCAACACATTCTTTCAATTCGAACCTATAGATCCTGAGATTAGCGCAGCCAAACAAACAAAGTTTTCAGCTTTATATATTAGCATAAAAATAAGATGTGTGTCTTATTTGCTTCAAAGTTTAACAGAATATTAAAAAAAAAATTAAATAGAATACTTTGACGGTTTAAAACGCGATATATCAGTTAAATTTCTTTGGAAATGATTTTTAACTTCGGCCCGACGTTTCGGATGCTTTGCAGCAGCCGTGGTCACAGGGAGACTGCCAAAGTGTTTTTAAAAAAGCTGAAAGTGTTTTATTTAAATGTGTACTACTCGCGTAAACTATAGACAGTATAGAATATTTTTTTTTCAATAATAATTCTTGTCTTATCTTTGTTCTCTTTCTTTAAAAACTTATTCTTATTTAACAGCATAACAGTAATGTATAATTATAAACAGTGAAATGCTAAAATTACTCTACTTAAACAATTCAGAAACTTTTGGGAGCATGATAACGCAAAATGTGTATAGACCAACTTCCGTTTGCATGTGTGTGAAAGTTAACGCCGTTTGATACAATTTCTCTTTGAATTGCGCCTTTGATTTATAGTTGCAAGTGTGGGCATTACAGTCGAGCTCTTAGAAAACTCTATTAGGAAATATTCAACGTCATCTGGAATCGTCTATTGTTGGAAGTAATGCAGTTTTGTGGCTTTGAAATGTTTACGATTGTATTACGTGTCGAATAAAAACGCATAGAAAGCGCTCTTAATTGAATAGGTATATTTAAAATCTATCTATACCAATATATAAAGCTGAAGAGTTTGTTGTATGTTTGTATGTTTGAACGCGCTAATCTTAGGAACTACTACTGGTGCGAATTGATAAAATCTTTTTGGGTTGGTGTAGAGCATTTATCGTGGAACAATTTATGTTGTGACTAATAAAAGCGAAGAAACATCGGGAAATGTAAAAATAAAGACGTTAATTATTTATCATTGTGCGTTGGTGATGCGTACTCAGCAAAAACGGTTCAATATACCCAAAAAATATTAAACGGTCTAAAAAATTCGGAGTCTTATGGAGAACTTAAGTGTTATTCAAAATCGTACTTCGGAGAGTTCCTGGAACTGTTTGTGCGGGTTATTATTATTTTATTTTGGTCTCATTGCACTGAAGCAACGAGCCTAACTGCAATTTCGTGACTTGCTTATTTATATTTGTAGTCTGAAAATGTTAATCTACAAGAGCACAGTGATCGAAGATTGTTAACATAATTCTTACACAAATAATAGTAGAAAATATTTTCGCCTTAGTTAATTGCGCATTTTATTTCCTCCTTATTGAAAAATCTTGTTTCTTGTTATTAGGCCACTCTGGCTCTAGCGGCCTCATATCATGATGATAGGAAGTATACTACCTCTTTCTAATCGATGTGCAAGTTTCCCTGCATGCCACTCTACTAGCGTAACGTACTGCGCTTGTCCAGTTAACACTAAAGCGTCATTGTTGACGCAATATCGAGTAACAGTTAATGGATCGTGTAAACTTTCACGGCGCCAAATGTCTCGAGAAAAATTAAAGGCACGGATAACTTGAGTACCGTCTCCGTGGAGCAATGGTTCGAGGTCGTCACTCGAATAAAATCTAAATCATGATATGTCTTTGCCACATTTTTGTAAGATGGAAGGTGAATTACCATAGCCATGTAACATTTAAAGATGGCGCTGTCTGGCTGTATTTCGGCTTTGGTTATTCGAAAATTCACGGACTGAAAACGAAACGCGATGAATCTTCAACTTTCTGCGGACGGTGTTTCGTGACCCGAAAGTAATTTTGACATTTCAACTACCGGTATAATATCTAAATGTCCAAGATGGTTCAGAGAAAATATAAATTTATTGGAAAATTGCTGGACCAGGTGGAGATCGAAGTCCCGACCCGTTGATACATTGCTACCATTAGACAAGCAGAAACGAAGATAGTTAGGCAAGCAGAAACTTCTCTAGGATTCAACAGGGTGAAAGCGAGACCTTTACTAAAACTCCGTTTAAATACTGTCTATAGTTTACGCGAGTAGTACACGTTTAAATAAAACACTAACGGTTTAAAACGCGATATATATTAAATAAAATCATTATATTATAAAATCATTTTCAAATAAGTTTAACTAATATATCGCGTTTTAAACCGTTAAAGTGTTTTATTTAAAACTCCGTTTTCTTAATAAAATGATCCCGCTATTTATTTGTTGATATACTAGTGATAATGACAAATACCTAAAAAAGAAATATATAAGATAGCTGTCATGTATACAGATTACAGATCTTTTGTGTGAATGTTTACAGAAATTGCTAGGGACCCAGTGTTGCTCTGTGTCTCACTTGACCCTTTATTTTGTTTCTACAGGGACACGAGTACTCCGTCCGCTCCCGCAGTTCTACTGAAGAGGACCAAACACCACAAAGGCAGCATCTACTGCCTCGACTGGAGTCCAGCTGGTGACCTTCTTGCGACTGGCTCCAACGACAAGACAGTCAAATTGATGCGATTCAATAAAAACGTATGCAATCTGGAAGGACAAGAGGTGAGTCTTTCTCTCAACTTCGTTGTTTTTTTGTTTTTTTTTTATAAAATTACCAACTACATACTTTAGCTTACAACATCTATTTCTAATCATAATTCTTACTACTTATGTATCTAACTTAAAGGTATGCCCAACTTAAACAAAATATATTAAATAAAAATAATTATGAGTATTAAACTCATAATGGTAGTATAAAAAAGTATAGTTTTAACTTCCTGAGTAAATATATAGTATTTAAATAAAAACACTTTAACGGTTTAAAACGCGATTTATTTGTTAGAAAGATTTATTTTTTTACAGTAAGTTTAGGAAAATAGCAGTGCTGTCTGTAGTTTACGCGAGTAGTACACATTTAAATAAAACACTTTAACGGTTTTAAACGCGATATAGTTTAGTTAAACTTTATTGAGAATTATTTTTATCTCCGACGTTTTGGATGCTTTGCAGCAGCCGTGGTCACGTTGACACAAATTATAATTCTCAAAAAAGTTTAACTAAAATATATTGCGTTTTAAACCGTTAAAGTGTTTTATTTAAAAATAGCAGTATTTCTATTAGCAACTTAAGCATTGGATAGATGGCTTGAAAATATACTTGGGTTTGAAATTAGAATCCATCAATCATGTACACATGTGGTGAGTCTTGGTCCCTTTTATAAGCATTTTACACTGGCGCAAGAAAGGATATGTACGTTTTTTGAGTGCTTACACTAAGTTTGTAAGAAGATACTATTTTGCCTAAAGGTTGCGGTACTGAAACGTTTCAAAATACTATAAATTATCTTAGTCTAACTGTTCCATTCTGATGTTTATAATAAAACTAGTTACGCGCTACGTCCGCGTATAATCATTTTTTTAAACATCAAAATTTGTTTTTACAAACCTCCGTCCCGTCGTTCTTTCAAGTTAGTAGTATGTCTTAGTAGACATATACTGTACCGAATATTTTTTTAAATAATTTAAAAGTGAATTCACATATTTTTGGGTATCTTTAACCGTTTACGCATCGGCATCGGCAACGCACAGAGATGAATAAATTTCCCCGTTTTTCCACATTTCCCGCTGTTTCCTTGAACCAATTAGTCACAGCGATGTTGTAACTAATAGGAGTGGTGATGAGTGGTGGGAATATGGAAATTTCGTCCGGATCACGAACCACTGTCCGCAGATGAAAAAGCCGTGAAGTTTTTATCGCGTTTCAGTTTCCAAATATCCAAAGCCAAAATGGGGCGACAGCGCATCTGTTCAAGATGATTTTTATTTATTTATTTATTTATTTATTATGGTACATCAACAGATATTAATGTAGTTATTCTTAAATAAAATAGTTAAATACTAAGGACCAATATAAAAGCATTGTTAATTAAAATTAGTTTTCGAAATTAGAATTCCAACTTAATTATAATAAAGTGTCTATAGTCAATTTATTTTTAAATCGTGTAAAAAATCAAAGTAAGGATAGTGTTTCTCGCATGACATTATTAAGGGTCTCACATACACGGTACAATGAGTTTCTACCTACGTTAGTTTTTGGTGTATGAAGATAAAATACTTTTAAGTGTTTAGTCTTGAACTTTTTCTTGGGACATTAAACTGGATTTATTTAATATATTCGGGGCATCATTAATTTAAAATTTTGAAAAGAAAAATTTTCTAGATTAGGCTGAGATATTTTACCTACCATCGAAAGAACCGCGTGCTTGTCTTGTCCTCTACCATAAAAAAAATATCAATCGAAAACTTTAATGTTTCTCACATGATGGCACTATATAAATTAAAAATCTATTATAAATTTTCAATTTACATAAATTAATAATTGGCTGAGATAACATGAAAGTAAATACTTTCTACTTTCAGGGAATCGAAGTACTCCAATATATGATTATTATTTTTGAGATCTGTCACATTTTTCTCGATTGAAGTCCTGTGGAATCTATATTTACTCTTGAATACGTCTTAAGAAGCCTCTCGCTCTACCTTTGATCGACATCGAAGTAAATTACTTTGACTTTCACTTGTATCATATAATTTATTATGAGTAATAACTTTGCTTATTATAATCTAATCTATAAGTTGCATTTGAGAGTTTGTTACCGCCGTGTCAATTTGATAGAAATTTCTATCTATTAACTTAAAGTAAGTTGTGATCTAAACATAGACTTAAGATGCACCCGTCTTCAGATCATCTATACTAAGATATTAAACTAAAAATTTGTTTGTTTGAACGCGTTAATCTCAACGTCGACGTCGTGCGTAACAGCTAAATAACTATGCTACGCGGACGAAGTCGCTAATATAGCTAGTTATATTATAAAGCTACAGCTTAGTAAGGATTAATAATAAAATAAAAGTATATTATATTAAACTTTAAACATTTGCTGTTACCATTACAGTCACGCTTTTGTTTGTTTTACGTAAAATCGGCTTGAATCTTATTCTCAATTGCAGTGTGACCTCATAGTAATAATACTACTTATGTAAAAATCTATAGTAATATTAAAAAGCTGAAGAGTTTATTTTTTTGTTTGAACGCGCTAATCACAGGAATTACTGGTTGGAATTGAAAAATTATCTCATGCTATGAAGAGTGAAGAAATAGAAGGAGATGTAGAAAAAAACATTTTGTTTTTATTACTCAATAAATATGTAAGAAGTTTATTATAAATAACGAATATTTATTTATTCTTTAACCGTTTTTATGGTTATCAAATTTTGGTCAAAATACTTCATATGGCTTGTCAAATCAGCGCTATTTAATCGTTGTATTATTGTCTCTAAATCCCTGTCTAGTAACTATTGGAATACGATAATTATAAGTAGGTACTCTACAACGGGCAAAACCTCTTAAATAAAAGAAATTAAAGTCAATCGCTTAAACAATTATTCTATTACGTCCAATCGTCTAATCGTTATCTGCGAATTGTTCACTCATTGAATTCCGGTAGATGTACTCAAAAGGCTGTGCTGACCCAACCTGACCTCCTCGATCGTAAATCGTTTCCTTTACAGAAAATGTGTGGGGTCCTATGCTGTTCATATAAAACATCACCTATTTTAAAAGGGACTAGATTATTTGTATAAAGAAGAGTTGCAATTGAGGCATTTTAAACTCTCCTACAATATTTAGGGCTGGCTTCTTTAAATTAAACAAAAGCGACGTTTGACAATTTTTATTAATGCAACGAGTTATGTTAAAGGTCGCAATAAAGTTTAGAAAAGCAGCGTTATAAAACGTTCTTTACATTAGTTACAGACATATTTTTAAAACCCACCCGAAAACTTATTAAAAGTATTCTCTATATATATGTATAATGTAAGCAAAAAACTCCATGTTAAGACATGACGGAACACGTAATGAGTCAGTAACATATTTTGATCCATCATATTCCAGACAATATTAATTAATAATAGATAACCCCTTTTATCTCCGTCGCTTATCAATATGGCATAAACTATTTAGATGCTGTTAACTTGGGAGACAATTTATAAGGGTATATTATAATACTTATGACATTGTTCAGTACTTAATAACTATTTAGTATTGTGCGATATCTAGAAAAGCTGACAATGTTCACTAACCTGCGTAAAGGCTATGTAAGTCAAGCTGTAAATGTTTTTGATCCCACTTCTGAGAGTACTAATTACTGTTTAAAATAAGTTGACACTTTTTGTTATGCATAAACCCTTAAAAATAGAATAGGATAGATAGTTTGTGGTTCTTTTGTATTTTATTTATTTAGGTCCGTAGAATGCAAAAAGTCGATACTTTAAACAGTCTCCTTTCATTTCATCGGCCGGCAAAGCACATCATAATTGTACACCATCTCATACGTCTCTTATTATTTCTCTTTATCTCTTATGGGAAATAAAATAATATCTAAAACTCAAAGGAAAATTACCTTCAAGGAAACCTTATGAATCTCAAATGGCAATTATTGGTTTAATATTTCTTCGTCTAGACTGAGTGACTATTTTTGGTACTGTAATAGTTATGCGGTATCAATACAAGCAACCGTTCGGTTTTGTTCTGTCTTAAATTTGAAAGCGATATTGGTGTTGATGATTTATTAAACATTTTAAATTTGTGTATAAATATTGTAACATCTAGAATTGAGGTATCCATCCGATATGTTAAGTATTTTAGTTAATACATAATTATTACGTTTGTTGAAATTACTGCAACGTCAGCTACAGTGCGCGTCAATGCGAACATATTTCAAATTAGTTCCAAATTTAAATTCCGCTAAACTAGAAATTCTAATAATTAGGTTATTGATAGACATAAAATGCCACACGCAGCATTCGTTTGTGTTCAAATATCTGGTGAATTTCCTGTTGCATTAAACAATTCGGATCGGATTTGTTGATTCGTAGTTTAAAATTATTGCGTTAACATTTTAGCAGAATTAATGGTAATATGCACTTTGGAAACTGTGTAGATATAATAATATTAAGATAGTGGTCGTTATGTCAACGTGGTATTTTTATGAACAACGTAATCCTTACAAAACATTTAGCACTTATGACATCATCTGCGGACTCGTAAATGCATGATTTTTATTAAGAATAAAAAACAACTCTTTGATTATTGAGCAATTGAGAGCATAAATTTATATATATTATAGATAGTTTTGTTCAATGTTAGTAGGGGAGTTTTAAGGAGCTCAAACACATCCCGCTGTCTTTATTTCATCGTTTCACCCGGAAACCTATAAGAATGGGATGGAAGGAGGTACTTTGGATTTTCTTTAACAAAAATGTAACATTTCTCTCGACTCAGAATTTGAACCCTGGACTTCTCCATCTTTTGAGCCGTATTTTATTCGTGTATTCCAACTATAACTTGTAATATTCAAATATTAGAAGACCCAATGGAGACGACATTAAGTATGAATAGCTTTAATCAAAAAGTTTCATTTAAATTTCAGCTAAATGCTAGTTAGTAACTTTTCACGATTATATTCTGTCGTTTTCTCTATGTCGCAATTCTTAGGTATATAT